AGACACTGGGGAGCCTTGGAAGGTGTTTGAGCAGAGGAGAGGCATGGAGATTGCCTTTTAGAAAGATCACTCTGGTGGCCCCTTGGGAGCCATGAGAATGAGCGTGACCTCCAACTACCGGGAATGTAGTTGACCAAGGGCTACTGTGCTCTGGGATTGCAGTGAGGCTGTGCTTCCCTCGGGATGCTCCCAGCCATTGACTCAGAGACATACTAAACAGGCCCTTTCCTAAGAGACACGGGACTCCTCTGACAGCTGACTGGCTTGAGGACTCCCTGATACCCGCCGAACCTTCCTTTAGACTACCCAGCAGATGAAACCCTTCCACCTGACCCTCTTTCCTTGTCGTCTTCCCCTGGAGCTTGATTTGCATCATCCCAGCCTGCCACTCTCTCCCCGTTTTCTCTCCCATGGATGTTAGGGAAGGAAGTTCCTTTTTATTTCATCTCATCCTATGCTAGCTTTTCAGAGGGCCCCGACTAGGGATAAGACTACAGGCGGAGCCACAGGAGCAGAGAAGAAGGGCAGACCTGGGGACATTAAGGTCCAGTCCACAGGATGGCTGGAGGTGTGCACCCACCCGCAGCCCCTCCTCTCTCCCCCACCCCCACCGCCTTTCCCCAGGGCTGGAATTCTTTACACAAAGCTGGGCAATCCTGTGTCCACTCTGGTCTCCCCAGCTAGGCTCTGAGTCTTTTCAAAATAAATAAATGAAGGAGTCACTGAGTGAATGAATGAATGAAGGGGGAAAGTTAAGTCTAGAGTGATCCCGGAACTCCACGTTTGGCCACTTGGTTGTAGCCAGTATTTTTGCTATTTGCATGGTATTTTTTCTGTCACTGAATTTTCCTTTGAAGAATAAACTTGTACTCTTTTGTGCATCAGAGGAAACTCTCAGGAATGAAAAGACAGGAACTCCCCTGGAGGTCCAGTGGTTAAGAACATGCCTTTCAACACAGAGGACATGGGTTTGATATCTGGTCGGGGAACAAAGATCCCAAGTGACTCGGGGCAACCAAGTTCATGCACTGCAACTAGATGGTCGGCACTCTGCAAGGAGAGATCGCGCGTGACGCAGCAAAAATCACAACTAAGACCCGACACAGCTAAATAAATATTTTTTAAAAACTGAAAAGAAAACCCATAGAAAGACAGAAAGTTTTTGCAAGTCATACATCCAATAAGGGTTTAACATCCAGAATATATTAAAAGCAAACAAACTCTTACAACTCAACAGCAACAAAACAAGCCACCCAATTCAAAAATGAGATGGAAAAAAGGACAACAGAATTGAAAGGACATTTCTCCAAAGAAGATATTTTTTAAATGGCCAGCAAGTACAAGAAAGCAGGTTTTTGGTGCACTGGATGAGGCTCACTCACTTTGGGGAGGACAATTTGCTTTGCTCAATATTGTTAGTCATTAAGGAAAAAAATCAAAACCACAATGAGAGGCCACTTCGCACCTCTTAGAGTGACTATTACGTAAAAAAAAAAAAAGGAAATAACAAGTATTGGTGAGGCTATGGAGAAACTGAACCCCTTGTGAGCTGTTGGTAGGAATAAAAAAAATGGAGCAACCACTATGGAAAACAGTTTATCAGTTTTTCAAAAAGTTAAACATAGAACCTGACAATCCCACTCCTAGATACATATTCAAAAGAATTGAAAACAGGGGCTCAGACAGGTATTTACACACTCACGTTCACAGCAGCTAATACGTGGAAAGAACCTAAGTGTCCATCCATCAGCAGGTGAGTGAATGCACACACAAAATACACTCTGCACACTCAACAGAATATCTTATTCGTTCAGCCACAAAAAGGAATGAAATTCTGACATCTGCTACAACATGGATGGACCCTAAGGACACTGTGTCAAGTGAAATAAACCAGTCAGAAAAGGGTAAATATTGTCTGAGATATGAGATCCACTTATAGGAGACACTCGAATAGGTAAATTCATAGAGACAGAAAGTATACATAGAAGTTACCAGAGGCTGGGTGAAGGTGAGAGAGGGGGTAATTGCATAATGGGGACAGAGTTTGCTTAGAGTGATGAGAAAGTTCTGGAAACAGATAGTGGTGATGGTTATAGGACACTGTGAATTTACAAATGCTACTGAATTATACACTTAAAATGGTTAAGTGGTAAATTTTATGTTACACACACACACACACACACACACACACACATATCATTAGTCATTAGGGAAAGGAAAAAAATCAAAACCACAAGGAGGTACCACTTTTTCGTGGTACATTGTTCAGTCGCTTGGTCGTATCCGACTCTTTTTGATCCCACGGGCTGCAGCATGCCAGGCTTCCCTGTCCTTCACTATCTCCTAGAGTTTGCTCAAACTCATATGATGATATTATCTAACCATCTCGTATTCTGTGCACCTCAGTCCTCCCCACTAAAACACCTGCCCTTAATGGATTCTGGGGTGGGTCTTAATCCCCCCACTTGCTCTGGTGGTGGGTTCTGAGGGGCTTTAGGCAGCTGGCACATCCTCACCACTGGCTCAGGGCTGGGCCTGTGGCAGAGACACTGGTTGTTCCCTGGGATCTTTTCTCCTTTTCTGGGTCTCTCTGACACAGCAGCCAAGGCTGGTCACCGACTAATCCAGGCTCAGCCCGCAAAAGAACCGACAGTCACCAGGTGGCGAGTCTCCCCAGAGGGACCCCAACCACCTCTCCCTTCCATGCGCCACCCGCCTCCACCACGGGGTGGGCGGCAGTGCCTATTTCCTCAACCACTGACTCGGCTGGAATTGTGGCTTATCTTGACCAACAGAATGTAACACAAGTGATAAGTGACTATCCCAGGCCAAATCTTTAAGAGGCCTGGCAGCTTCTGCTTTTTTTCCTGGAATTCAGGCTCCGGGTAAGAAATCTGACTGTCTTAAACACCCCTTGCAGTGACAAAGCCCAAGCTGGCTGTGCTGGGAAGCCAGGCAGAGAGAGGTCTGACCAGTCCCAAGTTTGGCAGCCACCCCAGCTGAGGCACCAGACAGGCAAGTGAAAAAGCATCTTGGACTCTCCAGCCCCAGCAGACGCCATATGAAGCAGAAGAATCACCCAGCGCAGCTCAGACCATCTTGAAAAATGATGAACACAATAAATTGTTGTGTTTTAAGCTGCCAAGTTTGCAATAGTTTGTTACACTGCAGCAGATCATTGAAACAGAGATCTGTGCTGGATATATTAGCTAGGGTTCTCCGGGGGAACAGAACCAGTAGGAGACACCCAAATACCTTTATTTATTATAAAAGAATTGGTTCATGTGATTATGGGGGTGCTGAAGTCCCATGATGTGCAGTCTGCAAGCTGGAGCCTCTGGAGAGCCCCAGAGATTGAACCCGTGTCTTCTGCATCGACAGGCAGATTTTTGTTGTTGTAGTTTTTAACCACTGAACCACCAAGGAAGCCCCAATCTTGGGATTTAAAATGATGCTTTGGCAGAAGTTTATGAACTAAGTTCCCACTTCTCCATTCTTCGGCCATTAAAGAAAGCTATAACATAAAATAAAAATAAAAGATGCTTTGGAACCCAGTATCACTTCTGTGATATTCCTGCCTAAATGCATAAGCTGAATTTTATCATGAAGAAATATCTAATAAACCCAGATCAAGGGACATGTTACAAAACAACTGATCCAGACCCTTCAAAATCATCAATGTCATAATACAAAGACAGAGGAGTTGTCACAGATGAATGAAGGCTAGAGAGATCATAAATGAATGTAAACACAATCTTGAATTTTCTTCAGTTACAGAGGACATGATTGCGACCATTGGCAAAATCTGAGTAAGGTCTGTAGATAAAACATTATTAATGTGTCATTAGTAAGACGCTATTAACGTATTGGTATTCGTTTCCTGGTTTTGATCATTGTACTGCAGTTACATAGGTTTTTAGCAAACATGGACTGAAGGATTGAAAGGTTTAGGGTAACGAGGCATCATGTCTGCAGTCTGCTTTGAAAAAGCAGAAAAGTTATTCACCAGAGACTAGTGCTTAGTGTCCGACTCTTTGTGACCCTTTGGACTGTAGCCTGCCAGGCTCCTCTGTCCTTGGGATATTTTTATGAGAGAAGGATAAAATAAATGTGGTAATATGTTAACATTTGGAAATCTGGTAAAAGGGATTTAGGAGTTTTTGGTTCTATATTAGCAACTTTTCTTTAAGTCTGAAATTATGTCAACATAAAAAGTTTATTAAAAATCTGTTTATCTGAGATAACAGCTGCAGAGACTGGCCAGTTGCAGGAACTACAGGTTTCTGCTACAAACACAGGCAACCGAAAAGAAAATGGATTAAAAAATTTGATGAGACTCCAAATAAGAAATCCAGCTGGCCAATAAACATACACAAATGTGCTTGAGCTCATTAATTATCAGGAAGTACAGACTAAAATGACAGTGAGATACCACTACACATTCATCAGACTGGAAAAATTCGTCTGACAGTATCGACTGTAGCCCTATAGAACACTGGGAACAGTGGGAGGGGGGACCGGGATGGGGAATACATGTAAATCCATGGCTAATTCATTTCAATGTATGACAAAAACCACTACGATGATGTAAAGTAATTAGCCTCCAACTAATAAAAATAAATGAAAAAAAAAAAAAAAACAACGCTGGGAACAAACATCTGGTGCCAGGTGGGAATGTACGCTTATTTGTTCAACCACTTCAGGAAACTGTTTAGCATTATCGAATAAAGTCAGATATGCACATTGAGATGTATAACCTGTTCACAGCAGCACCGTTCAAAATAGTCCCAGGGTAGAAACAGCCCATTGTCCATCAACAGGAGAATAGATAAACTGGAGCCGGTCACACGGTGGAATGTTACCCAGCAAGGAGAATGAATGCACTTCTGCTGTATGCAACCCACAGATGAAAACTTACAAACATAGTATTGAGTAAAACCATAGGGTTTTCTTTAGCTAAAGTCCCCACACAGATAAACCCCAGTTCTCTGTTGTTTCAGGTACATGTACAGGTAATAGAACCATGAAAGCGAAAGTCGCTCAGTCCCGTCCAGCTCTGCGATCCCATGGACTGTAGCCTGCCAGGTTCCTCTGTCCATGGAATTCTCCAGGCCAGAACATTGGAGTAAGGAGCCGTTCCCTTCTCCAGGGGACCTTCGCAACACAGGGATCGAACCCAGGTCTCCCGAATTGCGGGCAGATTCTGCACCGTCTGAGCCACCAGGGAAGCCCAGTAGTAAAACCGTGAAGGAAAGTGAAAAAGGGATTAACTAAGCTTTGGGGTGGGGGTGGGGGGGTTGTCTGTAGGAGGAGGACTGTGATGGGGGAAGGGTTATTTTAATGTGTCCGAGGTGCTGTTAATGCTGTTTATTTACCAAGGTGGAGGTTACACTTTATCAAGCTGTGACCATATCTTGGATACTTTTCTGCATATTATATTACACAATAAAAATTACTGAAATCAAGTAAGAAAAAATGTAGCCTTTGTTCTTTACTCAACTGAAAGTGCTATTACAGGGCATGAACGCAAGAGGGCGCTCTAACCGGTGAGCCTGGGGAAACCGAGGTTTCCTGGCAACGGAGAAACACGGCGAGCGGGTCTTCTGCTGAGAGTGGGTAAGCAGTGCATTCTGGTTCCGACACCTGCCAGGTGGGCCCGAGGTCCGCTTCTGGCACCTGGAGCGTCTCTGTTGGTTCTAAGATGAGAAGGGCTCTTCTTCCAAAGGCAAAGTAGGGTTTGCTGAGCTGGGGAGGCTGTGCCTTCGCGTCGCTGCGCTTTTTTCTGCTACAGTCAAGGTGGCCCTTCTACGGAAAACTCCAAGCACGTTATACTGTTTCCCTCAAAACAGAAAAAAAAAGGGGGGGGGGGGGTGGGAAATTAAGAAAGATCTTTGCCCACAGCCTTCGAAGCACAAAAAAGAAGACTTTAAAGATCTGGGCAGTGGTTGGAGGTTTTCTTGGATCGTTGACAAAACAGAACATTTTAAAATAAATTAGTAAAAATAATAATAATAAAATAAAATAAATTAGTAACAGGTACTTTTGAAGCTGAGTTGTTGTTCAGTCGATCAGTCGTGTCCAACTCTTTGCAGCCCCATAGACTGCAGCACACCAGGCTTCCCGGTCCTTCAGTGTCTCCCAGAGCTTGCTCAGACTCGTGTTTATTGACTTGGTGATGCCATCCAACCATCTCATCCTTTGTCTCCCCCTTCTCCTCCTGCCCTCAGTCTTTCCCAGAATTAAGGTCTTTTCCAGCACACGCAGAATACATTGTTAAAAAGCGTTTTCCCATATTTTGTTTCACTTGATTTCCAAGGCACTCTGATATCACTCCATTTTGTAGATGAAGAAACTCAAGCCCAGAGATGTTAAATGGTGAGAAGTCCAGAGCTTTCCTCCCGTCTCCATTTACAAAAGAACATTTACTATTTATTTTGAAAGGGAAGAGGATGCTGTCTCTAATAAAGAAATTAAAATTAAAACAACAGGAATATAACTTATTTTCTCCATCAGATTAGCAAAACTATTTTAAATCATAATCCCTCACACTGGGGAGGTTGTTTGGAAACTGGCAGTCTTTCCAGCACTTAGTGGCAGTGGGAGCCAGTAGCCGCTCTTTGGAAGCGCAGCCTGGCAACATCTACCAGGAGCCATAAAAACGTTCCTCCCCTTGGGTCCTGCAACCCCACTTCAGAGAGCCTCTCTGAATAACATAGTTTGAAATTTGGGGAAGAGTGTATGTGCAGATATTCATGGCAGCATTATTTATGACAGCAAAACATTGAAAACACAGAGGAAGAGTTAGGTTGCCAAGGGAACTATCATAATTAAGTAACATTATGCCTCTGTTTTTCAAATGATAATTCGGAAGCCTGTGGCATCATGGGAAATGCTGCTGTGTAATATTAAATATATATATATATATATATATATATATATATATATATATATATAAAAGGAAGCTACAAAATGGCCCGGACACTAGTTAAGTTTGTAACTACACATAAGTACATAATCCCATTGGTGTGGGGTAGAAGTAAAGCAGGGGAAAGAAAAGAAAATGAGACAAGTGGGAATGATCTTTTTTCTCAAATTTATCTTATTGAAGTATAGTTGTTTTACAAGGTGGTGTTTCTGCTCCACAGCAGAGTGATTCAGTTATTTATATGTATGTATATATGTAGATACACAGTTTTTATATCTTTTCCATTATGGTTTTTCACAGGATATTGAATATAGTTCCCTGTGCTATATGGTAAGATCTTGCTGTTTATCCATTCTATATATAATAGCTTGCATCTGCTAATCCCCAACTCCTAATCCATCCCCTCATGCTTCTTCATAACTTTTTTCTCCCTTTTCACTTCTACTCAGAATCTAATTTTTCTTTTTCTTCATGTTTTTAGTGGAGTATTTTTGTCATATCAGTTGGCAATATCATGCTGACGTACTCCAGGAAAGCAGGAAAATATAACACTGAAGTACCCCACTCACAAAGAGGCAATCTCTAGTTAAACACTTTAGAACGGTGGTTCTTAAACCTGAATGTACATTGGTGTCACGTGGAGAGCTTGTTAAAACCCAATTTGCTGAGCCCTATGGGGAATTTCTGACTCAGTAGGTGGGGGTGGAGCTCAAGAATTTAAACGTTTTTACCAAGTTTGCAGGTGATGCTGCTGCGGCTGCCCCCAGACCACACTTTGAGGACCACTGCCTTAGTGTGGAGCCTTACAAAGTCTTTCTATGTGTCACAAGTCTAGATGCCTCACCAAAAAATGATGACTGTTTTGGTTGTTTTTCCAGGAGCATTCTTGTGGCTTAATCTCTGAAGTATCCGTAGTTATTAATTATCTGATTAATTAAGATTGTCATCATTATCAATTCATGTTCTTAAAATTATTAGACTGAAGTTTCCAGTTCCAGAAGTGGAATCGTTGGGTCAGAAGACCTGTGTGGGGGATTCCCTGGAGGTCCAGTGGTTTTTTTCTTTAACTTTGTATTTTGTATTGCGGTATAGCCGATTAACAATGTTGTGATAATTTCAGGTGAATTTCAGCAAAGGAACTCAGCCATACATACACATGTGTCCATTTCCCCCCAAACTCCTCTCCCATCTAGGCTGCCACATAACATTAAGCAGAGGTCCCTGTGCTATCAGTAGGTCCTTGTTGGTTATCCATTTTAAATATACCAGTGTGAAAAATATATATATATATACCAGTGTGTACATGTCCATCCCAAACTCCCTAACTATTCCTTGCCCCCATCCTTCCCCCCAGCAACTGTAAGTTCATTCTTTAAGTCTGTGAGGACTCCATGCTTTATTGTCAAATGGCAGGTTCAACCCCTGGTCGAGGAGCTAAGGTTCCATGGGCCATGCTGTACAGCCAAAAAAAAAAAAAAAAACTGTGTGTTTTTCATGATTTTAATATACCTTGTCAAGCTGCCACCGTAGAATCTAATGTTTGTCTTCTGCTGTGAAAATGTGCCATTTCATTTAATCTGTAAACTGCATTAATTCATTCAGCACATATTCACTGAATGATATTTTGCACCAGGTGTTTTAGAGACTCAGAGATGAACAAGAGGCACCAATCATGTGAGGTAGAGATTATTACTATGCCCATTGTACAGATGAGGAAACTGAGACCCATGAGCCCAGGAGATGACTTGGGTATGAAGACATAGAGGGTGGTTGTACCCTCTTAAGGCTGCTTCACCATTTGCGCTAAAAAGTCAGTGTTGGCTCTAGGCAGGCTCATGCTGCATTGTTCCACATGGAAGGGAATATTTTAATTTGGGGTGGCAACTCTCTTTTTTTTTTCCATCACGCTCCTGGAAAAATCAAATGAGGAAACATCCTGGCATCTAGCTTAGGAAATAAAGCTGATCCGAAAGCTGCCAGGAATAAAAGCTACCAAAACTTTCTCAACTGAGTTTGAGTTTCTACTCTTAAGAAATTAGCTAGAACTGGCCCTCCTCTGATTCCAAAGTTAGACTTACTGGGAAAACTTCTAACAGAAAGCATGATAGACGTGCGTGGACATGTAGAAATTCAGGGACATCTTGTTTTTCACTTTCCTAAATGAGCTCTAATTACAACCATTGATTGGGCAGCTTAGTGGTGAAGTGCAAATACTTTGGTTTGACAAAGCAGAAGGTTTTATAATAAGTAAACTATTTTTTTTTAACTTTCAGCTTCAGCTTCCTCATCTGCCGAATGGGTCTAAGAATACTTTCCTCAGAGATCTTTATGTAAGAGCTAAAGGATTCAGGGGGTAGTGGTCCCCATCTGTCCCCCCCCTTTTATTTTACTTTATTTTTTTAATTATTTTTTTGTCCCCCCCTTTTACAAATATTTGTATTTGTTTGGCTGTTTTAGGTCTTAGTTGCAGCACACGGGCTCTTTGATCTTTGTTGTGGCATGCGGCTCCTTTTAGTTAAGGCATGGGAACCTTTCACTGTGGCATGTGGGACTAGTCCCTTGGCCAGGGATTGAACTGAGGCACCTTGCAGTGGGAGCTTGGAGTCCTAGCTGCTGGACCATGAGGGAAGTCCCCATCCACCCACCTTTTAATTCAGGAATCTAACCCATGCAAATTCCAGGGGTTCCTGGAGCCTGACACTGAATTCCTGCAAACCCAGCCGCATAACAGCCGCAACTGCAGTTGCCACCCTTGGATGTGGTAGCCCTGCCACAGCTGAGCACGGCTTCAAGCTCATGGTACCCAGTCAGTGATCTCACTTATACATTCTTTTCCATCCCTAACAGGAAGAAGGACCAGAAACAGTTCACTTTTATGTGGGGCAGACAACAATACACGTTGCCCATCCAGCTCAGGCCCTGTTAACTCTCCCGCCCTCTGTCATAACACAGTCTGAAGGGACTGGACCATCTGGACATTCTGCAAAACAGCACACTGTTCCACTTTATTGGTGACATAGTGTGAATAGGACTCAATGAGCAAAATGTGGTCCCAGAGGGTAGGAAATAAACCCTACAAGAATACAAGGACTCTGGAAGATGGTCAGTTGACCCTAGTAGGTTTCATGGGCTCACCATGTCAATGGTTTGGG